AAGGCTCCAAAGTCTTTGCCAGAGATCTGTCTGCCAGAAAGAGCCAACTGTCAAAGTTGAAGAACGAGTGTGGCAGCATCGTTTCCGGGACACCTGAGATTTTGAGTGAGATTGAGAGGTTCTATGAGCAGCACACGTCATCGTTGGAGCCACACGCAAGTGTGAGTAACGACACTATTCCGAAGATATCCCGGACGTCAGTCTGAGCGAGATTAGAATGGGTCTCTAGCATCTTAAAAACGGCAAGTCCGGTAGAAAACCGGTACTTGAAGTCCTTCAGAAGCTCTTTAATTCGGTCCTCCGTGGTGGCACTACTTCGGAGGCGTGGAGCAGAAATGCGGTGGTCTTGTTCTTCAAGAAAGGCGACAACGCTCTCTTGAAGAACTACAGACCGATTTCCCTTCTGAGCCGCGTCTCCGTGCTGTTTTCGAGAGTCATTACGAATCGTCTCGCACGCAGACTTGACGACTTCCAGCCTCCCGAACAAGCCGGTTTACGAAAAGGCTTTAGTACCATAAACCACATACACACCCTTCGGCAAATTGTACAGAAGACAGAGGAGTATAATCTGCCACTTTGCCTTGCGTATGTGGACTATGAGAAAGCCTTTGATTCCGTCGAAATTTGGGCGGTATTGCAGTCCCTTCAGCGGTGCCAAGTTGACTGTCGGTATATCAAAGTGCTGAAGTGTTTGTACAATAGAGCTACGGTGGCTATCCAGAATCATACAGAATCGAAAAATATACAGAATCAGAGTATGAATCCTATCCAATTGCAGAGAGGTGTAAGACAGGGTGACGTTATATCCCCGAAACTCTTCACCGCTGCTTTGGAAGACGTTTTCAAGCTGCTGGACTGGAAAGGATGCGGTATTAATATCAAAGGCGAGTATATCACTCACCTTCGATTTGCCGACGATAGTCATTATGGCTGAATCCCTGGAGGACCTAAGCACTATGCTCAATGACCTCAATAGTGTCTCCCAACGGATAGGTCTTAAGATGAACATGGACAAAACAAAGATCATGTTTAATGTCCATGTCACACCTATGCCGGTAGTTGTTGGGAGCACTAAGCTCGAAGTTGTTGACGAGTATGTTTACCTGGGGCAAATAGTCCGACTAGGTAAATCCAACTTCGATCGACACGTCAATCGACGGATTCAACTCGGATGGGCAGCGTTCGGGAAACTACGACACATCTTCTCGTTAAACATACCTCAAAACCTTAAAACGAAATTGTACAACCAGTGCGTGTTGCCAGTGATGACTTACGGATCTGACACGTGGTCCTTCACTGCTGGTCGTATGAGGAAGCATAAGCTAGCTCAGCAAACTATGAAGAGGGCTATGCTCGGGGTTTCTCTGCGTGATAAACTTAGAAATGAGGATATCCGCAGTAGAACCAGAGTAACCGACATAGCCCAACGGATTTGTAAGCTGAAGTGGCAGTGGGCTGGCCATATCAGCTTACTAATCTTATTTACTTTATTGTCGGCTCGAAAAACCGACAACCGATGGGGAAGAAAGGTTCTCGAGTGGCAGCCTCGTACCGGTAGGCGAAGTATAGGACGAGATGGAGTGACGACCTGGTAAGACATGCAGGAAGTTGATGGATGCAGGTGGCTTAGGACCGTGCTTTGTGGCATTCCTTGGGGGAGGCCTATGTTCAGCAGTGGATTTATGAAAGGCTGTAATGATGATGACGATGATACGTTTACCATATAAAAATTTCATCCCATCTTGCACCGACATCGTAGCGTCGCTCGTCCAATTGTAGCACCGTCGCTGCAACTAGACACGAGTGCATGATCAGCGCAATAACAATTAAGCAAAGCGGTGTTCACATATGAACATCTAAAAGTTTGAATATTAATAAGCAATAATATTCCTTATGACCTATATAAATACAGATCAACGCTAATTGTACCAAATGAAATGTTTCTTTATATTAAAATATAACAAATTAAAATATCCACTTTCAGGTGGTCTCCATAGTCTTATAATTTAGGGTATAAAATAGGCTGTTGGGAGGTGTTTCACCATTAGTTACAGTGTGTTTCCCACAGTCTGCTAGACTTGGAAGTGTTCATCATCATCAAGGCGGCAAGTACGAGTATGTAACGTAACACTTAGGCACCTCATTCGTTAAATACAATAGAATAATAATTAATATGTTATATATGTTACAGTAAAGTTATATGTTTCGCTTTATAAGTTTTCATATGAATGTTTCTGTACAGTGATGTATTTTTCCTTCCTTTCGAGTCAGACGCTGAAGTACAGTCGACTTCGCAAAAGAAAAAAGCGGCTAAGAAACCAACTAATGTATCAAAGACAAAAACAGCAGCTCCTAAGTCCAAGAAACGAGTTGAACTATTCGAAAGCGACTCGGAATCTGAGGCTGCTACATTGTCGTCGCTCGCCCCCAGCTTCGACCAACTAATGTATCAAAGACAAAAACAGCAGCTCCTAAGTCCAAGAAACGAGTTGAACTATTCGAAAGCAACTCGGAATCTGAGGCTGCTACATTGTCGTCGCTCGCCCCCAGCTTCGACCAGTAAGAAACGAAAATTAAACATTTTTCCTGATTCTGAGGTAATCAAATCTTATTTAATTTTAATAATTTGAGTTACCATTCATTCACATGATGAAAAGTTAGGTTCTATTTAATCGGACGTCTACTTTGCACAGTATTATATTTTTATTATTGGTTGTAGTAACTAAATTATAATTATTATTATCATTCATAGGTTTTTATAAAAACGTACTTAATTATATTCTTATATGATTGGTGTGATTGAATACAATAGTAGGTGAACCGGGCTACATGTCAAGTCATGAGCATTATATAAAAATATATTTATGTAGGTAGGAGGGATATATAACTATTGTTCTTAACTTATCAGTATGCTCTTGTTGAAATATTATTTTTATTGTTTCCAGGATGAAGATTTTGAACCTATCCGAACGAGGATTATAAAAAGCTACTTATCACGCCGAACAGGATATGTGCACCAGAGCGAGCCTACGAAGCGAGGAGAATATTACGTCGAGGTATCTCTAACTTCCACGAGCTGGGAGGCTATTCCATCAGCCGACCACTGGCAGCATTCTGTAATCAACTTTAAATCAGCCGTCCACGAGAATACCCTAACGTTATAGGCTGTTACCCAGTTGGTATCATGCATCAAAGAAGATTATCACAACGTTCTGTATCCAACTAAGCGTTAGTTTTATCTGTGTTACTTATCTACCAGATTTAATTCACAGGTTTTCTTTCAGAAATCTGTATATCAAAACTCAAATACAGTCTAAAGCCATAATTTAATAAAACATAAAAATGATGACTACCGAAAGAAATATTTGAGTTTTGAGCATTTACTTATATTAAATAAAGCTTATCTAATTACTGACTCTGTAGTGTAGTAATATAATGAGTATTTGATCATTTTTTAGGAATATTTACTACCTGACTTAATCCTCGTTAACGTGTTGTTGCCTTCAGATAAAATCGAAATAAAAAATATAAACTAAAATTTTAAATCTAACAAATGTAAACTATATTTTATTATAATAAACTGATCTATATTTATATTATAATAATAAAAAATCAGTAAGTGCTTATTTAATTACCGACTCTTTTTAGTGTAGTAATATACGTATTTAATCATTTATTATCGAGTATTTAATCATTTATTTTTAGAAACATTTAGTACTTGGCTTAATACTTTAATAACGCGTTGTTGCTTTCAGATAAAATCGAGAAAAAAATATAAACTAAAATTCTAAATATAAGAATTGAAAACTATATTTTATTATAATAAACTGATTTATATTTATATCATCATAATAAAATTTAAAACAATGGGGAACACAAAAGGTTTAAAATATTACTACCAAATACTATTTAAATCGTAGCAAAAATCATGTACATTACATTAGTTTTTATATCACTTCAATACATGCAGTATTTCCGAAGTTATGACGACGAGAAGTTTAAGCCCTTTTTTGAATTTCAGAGATTACGCGCGCTCACGCTATGACGTCACACCCCCGCAAACGGCGACCGCGACACAAACGCGGCGTTCGGTTCGGTGCGGTTTGACCAAATTACGCGGGTCTCGTTTCATTTTCTTTCGATCGTCCTTATATTCCTATTACTTATAGTGTTTGTGCTTGTATTTCAAAGAAATAATATTATCCTCTAAATCGTATATTCGAGTACAAGCCACTGAGTAATATTGTTAAGAAAATATCACGAATAGCAATACAATAATTGTAGATCTTCAAGGGTTCAAAAATAGTAAAAATAAATTTATAGTAAAATAATTTGCTATAACCACTCTAGAGTACACCAAAATATTCCTAATTAAACCTTCTTACCTGTTCAATTCACTATCTCTTGAAGAGAAAAAACAAATTTGATGGATTGAAAAGCACAGAGAGTATCGATGGAGTGAGGGCTTTGTTGATTAGTTTCACAGAATTATCAAGACATATTTGAAAGATAACAGATTTTTAAAAGGAAGTGAATAAATAAAATGGGTACATGATCTTTGTGGTGAAAATAATACTATCGTAGATATAAATTGCTTAGGAGCTCCCAATTTAAATACTTTTTGTGAACTTTATTGTAAAGATACTTTACTGTATAACTGTTTTACTCATAAGAAAATCTGTCCGTTAAAAAATGTTTTATGTATAAAAACTTGCGAATGTGTAGCACTAATTTGGTTAGACTAAAAATGTGGACCTCTACTGCAGAGAACTGGGGCCTTCGGCTGCACATAGCTAGAGCGAAGAGAGAGCAAGTGACGCAGAAGCCCCAATTCTATCCTACTGATAATGCTTAAGCAAATCTTATTCAACATTATTTCAAGAATGCCCGTCCGAGCGTTGTGTACAGTGGAGCATCTATAATAATAAAAATGGTGTTTGATTTCACCTTTTTAGAAGAAGACCTTTGTAGAAAATCAAAACATTACAATCATATTTACATCACTTTGAAAGTTCTTTTGCTATACTTTTAAGAGCTTCAGTTTGCTCCTTTAATAACTTTAACTTCTGCCTTAGATATTCTTTTTTGAAACTTAAATAATCTTCTTTTAATTCTAGTTTTTTCTGCTCCTGAAAGGCTATCATATCACAGTTTAAATTACAGTTACTGGAATGCTTTGAAGAATGTTTGGAATTATTTTTCAATTTAAATGATTTAACATTTGTAGAGGAAACAAAAACTTTTTCTTCAGGTAAGGATTCTGGTTCACTTGATGCTTCTGATATTTTATCATTTAAGCTTTCTTGCTGAACTTCTCCTTCCAACGGGACAAACTCTGTTACATTTTTCACTCCCAGAGCTTCTTGTTCAGCATCAGTATGAATGAAGGTAAACCTTGTTACTTCTCCGTTAGTCTCTTCATGCCTCTTTTTCGTTTTAGAACGAAGATCATGCCATGTCTGTAATTCAACAAAAAAAAACATCAATTTATTATTGATGATAATATCAAGAGATGAAAGTATAAGTACCACTTCACATACTTTTCTCCATTGTCTCCAAGTTTTCTTCGCTCCAGGTATAGAATTGCATTCATTGGCTATGTTTTGCCAGAGCTTTTGTGAATCTTTGTAATTAAAATCATTGGTCACTTTACACGATATTAATTCAGGATGCTCTGTCATTAGTTCAATTAATTTTTGTTTCTGACGAGCTGATACATAGATACATCTTTGTCTTTCTTTACGGTCCATTTTGTTACTAGTATCACAGAACACTATATTCTCGGCAAGCTAGTTATTGCAACGAATTAAAATAGAGTATGTGTGAATTAGGCAATACGATAACATCCATCCTTTCCCATTCGGTATAGATAAAGAACAGTAAAGAGCTTAATAAGTAAAAAATCACACTAAAACACTAGATAAATGAACTTGTTAAGAAGGAAACTATATATACTTATATATTCTTTGAAGGAAACGAAGATTCTTGGTTCCTTGCATAGATAAATATATATGTAGGTTCCTTGAATTCTTGTGCGCTAGCACTTCTTCACAAACTATATAGAAACACTACGCGTTCAGAGTTCAGACGGACGTCTCTGGCCAAAGAGTATTCTCTGGCTCTCTGGTACTGGCACAGAGTACCTTTATATAAACTGAAAGGTACTGGTACTTTTAGTTTGGACCGTAGAGCAAATCAGAACATGACATTTCGTTTTTTTTTTAAAATATGAATTGTATATAGGCAAAGGAATAATTTTATTTCAGCCTAGTATAATATATATATATATGTATATACATAGGTATATACCTATACCTATATATAATATTTTTATATACAGGGTACTTTTGGAACGCTCCCGAAAACTAATACAGGCGACAACACCAAGTACACCTTTGATCATGGGTCACAAATAAATTCGATCCTGATGAAAAAAAAATCATCTTTTTACAACGTTTTATTAGCTTTATTCACGCGCCATCATGTTAGTACAGCTAAATGAAACGATAATTTCATAAAATATATCATGAAAATACTGAAACATAAAACCAACAGTGGAATGACTGAATTTATATCACCTGACTGAAAGGTCAATGTACGCGCGAACGCAAATTCGCGCCGCCCGCAACTAGCGGGCCATACCACAATATCTAATAATTTACAACACTTGTCTAAATACCTAACTTATCTACTTAACCTACTATTTTGCCACTGTGCTTGTCTCCACTTAGCCACTTTAATCCGAATTTACAGGTTAAATAACCCAAATAACTGGTTCGATTCCTCGCTAATGAAAAAATACTTAAATGAAATGTAACTAAGGTTGGAGTCATGAGTTTTTATTCATCGTGTAGGTATGTTTATTATTCTCATGTATTCAGTTATGTACCTATTCAGATTAGTCTAGTACTAAGTTATTTAAAAAAAAATAGGTATGAAACAGCTTACCGCTCTAAATCCTCCGTGGTCTTATGAGATGCGGCTCAAATTGTGCTCCATTCATTTCAAGGTAGATTTGGGTGCAGGCGGGGCATCATCGTGTGGTCTTCGACACAGTCCGTACGTAGTTTCTCGAAAGCATCCACGATCCTTTGGCGCATTTCTTCAGCACTATCACATTCACGATTAAAAACCCTTTCTTTCACATACCCCACAAAAAGAAGTCTAACGGAGTCAGATCTGGTGAGCGAGGTGGCCAAGCGTGTGGTCCTAGTCTGCCGATCCAGCGATCATCAAATAGCTCATTGAGGCTCTCACGGACGAACCTCACGAAATGTGGAGGGGCGCCATCATGTTGGAACCATGTGCGGCGATATTCAGCCAACGATAGGTCGTTTAAAATGTCAACCAACTGTTCATTTATAAAGTTTAGGTATCGCTGTCCGTTCAGTCGCTCTGGCAGAAACACTGGTCCCAGTATGCGATCCTTAAATAAACCTGCCCATACGTTAACCGACCATCGGATTTGGTGCCCGGTTTGTCGAACAGCGTGCGGGTTAACCTCTGAATACACGTGTGTATTTCTTCGGTTCCACAGGCCGTTTCTAGTAAATGTCGACTCATCCGTCCAGATAATGTGCTCAATGGAACTAGGCACACGTTGTTGCTGGTATAATAACCAACGGCAGAAAACTCGTCGGCGGTCGTGATCGCCGGGAACTAAAGCTTGCACTTTGTGCAATTTGTATGGGCGCATTCGGTTACGCTTCAACACTTTGTGCACTGCACAGTATGACACACTTGTTCCATCCCGACGTCTTAACAATTTATTTAGCGATACTTCGTGTACCTAGGTTCGGATACCTAACATGTTGCCGTATTCATAATCACTATAAACGTACGCGTTAAGCATTATTAAAACAAAAAACGTAACAACAAGAATAATACCAACAGGTAATCACAAGTATTAACAATTTAATAAAGAAAACGATTGAGCTGTCGCTCGCGCACTCGTGTACAAAATCAACACGGAACTGTTTCAAAAACTACAATTAATAACGAACCCCGACGAATAAACTGAAACCTACTGCGTCATAGCGTGAGGCGACACGAGCCGGCCGGGTTACATTCTGCCGTCAATATAAAGAAGGACGCAACTAACAAAAACGTAAAATGGAAATAAAAAATAAATTTATGCATTTTTCTTTCAGACCCCGTGTCTAAAGTATATTAAAAGGTATCTATATGAAAATTGAAATATGTACGTAGAGACATGAAGATTTTAAGGACGAACTTATTTTTTTGATAATTTGTTTATTTATTTAAATAAAACGAATTTTCCTTTTCATCTTAGATTAAAAAATACACCTGGCAACACAAAAACATCGAAGGAAAGACGCATATAACTATTTGCGTCTTCCCAACCTAATAAATAAAAAAAAACTGCCATTCATTTAACATTTTTACATATTTTGGAAAGGTCATTTGAAGTTGAAAGGACGCTAATAGTAATTTACTACTTTTTTCTTAGTAAATATTAGAAAAGCATTGGTAGTCAGACACAAAAAATAACAACCCGCAACTCTTGAGTAATGATTTTAAAGGGGATATCATACAAGACTTACTACGATAATAATTAAAAATTAAAAATTTTGTACAACCGACTTTAATATAAATAATTAAGGATGACTCAAAAACTATTGATCTGACCTCGATCAAATTTATATGGGACCACATGTGAAACACCAGCTCTTAGTAATAAGATATAAGCTCTTAATAATAAGATATAGAATAAAAAAACAAGAATAATTGAATTTAAGTAATCGATGCAAATATTGTTAAAGATGACGTAGCCACTGGTTAAATAAGTCTTTTCTTTTATGTTGAATTCGTATAAGTCTTTTCTAATAAAAAGATGTCATCTGTGATCAACAGTTACGTCTAAAATTCTTACGATAATTTCTAAAATATTGATATTTGTGAATATTAAAAAAATTTAGTAGATGCGCCTTCTTATCATGAGTCATGGTATATTTAACTCATTTATTCAAAAATTGTTAGATGCGCCCTTTTTTCTTACGACCGCAGCATTGTTTCGTACCGAGCTAGATACAGGTCGACAGCGGAGAGAGTGTGGGTACAGTCGCGTTCTAAAGTACTACATGGTATTGGGCTATTGTTTTATAATATTATAGTAATTAATTGTTTAATTGTAGAATCATAATAGGTGTTTTACTATTTACTTAGAACTTTGGAAGAGGTGGGAATTAAAAATGGATAATGTTTACTTGAGCATTAATTGTTATTTCTATCGTAAAATATAAAGTAGTTTGTAACAAAAAAAACTTAAGCTAAGGGTGACACGCCGTCCATTATGAAGTCTTGGGTCACATGAAAGCCAGATGTTGATGGTGTGTTGGTGTTACTGGATGCTACTTCATCATCACTTTCATCTTCGCTTGAGCTTCCGTCATCAGGTCGATCACATGGTAATTTTTTCGGTATTCTCCCTCAACCCTTTACTGCACAATTTTCCCCATTCACCTTCTCCTATCATATTTACCTTTTCGTTCACTAGTTTAGTCATAAAACAATAGATATAAATAATTTTTGTTTCCTTCCTTTTTAAAACATCGTCGCGAGTCGCAAAGTAAGCTGTGTATGCGACTGTATTTTTGGAGCGAACAAAGCGCGGGAACCAATAGCATGCAGGCACAGTAATACTGGCGGATTGTTCCCCCGTCGCGCCCCTTCGTACCTATATGAGATAAATCGCTCAGTGCCCAAGTTCAAGGCCAGCGTTCTTTTTTCACCGTTCGCGCGTACATTAACCTCCATTAGTCAGGTGATATCAATTCAGTTTCCACTGCTGCTTTATGTTTCAGTATTTTCATGATTTTTTTTATGAAATTATCGATTCATTTAGCTGTACTAACATGATGGCGCGTGAATAAAGCTAATAAAACGTTGTAAAAATATGATTTTTTTTTTCATCAGGATCAAATTTATTTGTGACCCATGATCAAAGGTATACTTGGTGCTGTCGCCTGTCTTAGTTTTCGGGAGCGTTCCGAAAATACCCTGTATATAATTTTAATTACTATTAATATTTTTATTATTATTATTTTATTATGAAGGAGAATTATAGTAGAAATAAAATGCATTGTGTATATTATTTATAATATGATTTATTTTTCAACTTTTTTTTAAACTTGTTTAGTGCTTTTCTTTGCATTGGTGGTAATGTACGCTTTTCGACTCTATGTCCGTGCCTTTGAGAATCCTATTAATTATGTTGCACCAGTTGAAAATGCACAGTTTAATAGAAAGCATTAGAAAATATTCAAGTACAATATCTTTATGGCTTTTACAATTATTGTATTCAAATAGATACTTGGTTTTTATAAGTTTTTTAATTTCTTGGCTTACATTTTCGTGGTGAGCACAATATTCCAAGTATCTATTTGTTTCTTTTATTATTGAATTAAAATGCCTTACAGCATATTCCGAGGGATAGGTCAGCTTTCTTTGCTTAATTGCATTATATTCTCTTTGTGAGATCCATTTATGTACATCACCATCTACTTTAGTACATAAACTGGTCTCACATTCTTGGCAATTTATTCTGCAAAGTATTTTTTTAATAACCCATCCAGTGGTATATGCTGTTGAGTGAACATTTAATCGCTCTCTTGCTGCCTGCACTTGAATATTTTCAATGAAAAGGTTCTCTTCAGTACATTCAACATCCTGTCTGATATTTGATGTGTTACAGTTTATCCCTTCAGAACTCTTTCTAAATAAAGACTGCACTTTTATCAACTGATAGCAAGTCTCATCTTCGCAATTATAGGTTTCTGAATGAAATTTAATTAGGCCTGTAATTAATAATGATTTAAAAGTACTAACGAAAGTATGGCAGGTTGGATCATTGTTACGAAAATTATACGACCTTACTCGCCCAAAAAAGTTTTCAATTGGATCAGAATTAAAATATAGAGGCCGCATGATTTTTATTTTTTTTTATGTAAAACTTGCCACACTCTTTCATAACTTTTAATTGTTGTCAGCCAATTTTTTAGTGTAGGCACGGACTTTTCATTTCGCTTGTCAATAAATTTAATATTATCAATTTTTTTCTTTGCATCCCTCCAAAACTTGTGATGCTCTGAGTTTTCAGTAACAGCCTTCCTTAAAGGTTTTCCACCACATTTCTTGTGGTCAAGAGAAGAGCCATTTACACTATCGAATAAATCATCCAGAAATGATACAGTTTTCGAAGTGTTTTTTAAAGTTTTGCTAACGGGTCTGCCATCGGTGTAGTGAGCTGGAAAAAATAATATTTAAATATATAAACTAATAGGATCTAACTTTTAATATAATTATGTTTAAATGGAAGCTCTCTTATTTCCAGCACAATGTCTGCATCCTATAGACAATGTCAAGACAAATTTTATTGGTTTTTTCTTTAGCTATGAGGCCATAGTAATAAGACAAAGTTACTTTCACATAAATCTATTAATCTTTCACAATTATACAGAAATTTTCAATAATTTTTGAATGGACATAATTATCATTGAAAATATAATCAAGATATTGAAGACTATACTTTAGCCATGTTTTAATAATAAAGGTTGGGTTAATAAAGGTACTTGTAATAGAAGTACTTGTGAAACTTTACTGTATATTAAAACAATATTTAGAATAAAACTTACAGAATTCAGCAGTATATGATAAAGCTGCTGCCATAGTTTTACTAAAAACCCGGACACAATTCTTAACCTATAAAGTAAAAAATATAAAAATAAGCTAAATGCAATACAACCTATTAACATTCTTTCATTGATTTCAGTGGTGTAGGCAGAGATTAAAGCAGAGTTGCTCAAAAATATAATCTGAATTAAGGTTTGAGAATGGTGATTGTTTTGTGATAAATTTTACCTGATTATTACCTTCATTTTTTTACTTTCTTGGGAATCACATCCTCATCATTTAGTTTGTGTAACAAGCGAGATTGCATATGCTTGCAGTCTGTTTAGTACACAACAATATCTTGCCATTTGGATACCTTGACATCGGTTATTATGTGTTTTGTTGAAAAGTTATTCCTTATACCTTTTATAAGGTGTGGCGGATCAAATATCACACTAAGTGATGCACCTTTTATTTGAACTGTATCATCTGAAATAAAAACATAGGGAATTGTTTATCATTCACATTCAGACTTGACCTCCATTCTTCAAAATGATAAATAATTAATTTTTAAAATAATAGTTTTGGTACGACTTTCCATTGACGTCAGTCGAGTTTGGTGTTGATACGTATTTTTACAGAAAGATTACATTTTTATAAGCACACACACAAAGTTTCAATATGCGGAAACACGTACTTATTGAGAAAAAAAATATTGTAAATCAAATAATTTTGCATTATTTAGTCAATTCCTACCGTGAAACTGACGCCATTTTTATTATTATTGTCAATAGGGATGTCGATTCTTTACGAAAAAGATCGATTTTTTAAATAGATTTGAATTGTAAGCTGATGTATCGATTCCCAAAAATCGATTTCTATAATATCGAATTTTTTTTCATGTTTGCATTTATAATGTAAATATAAATCCATTTTATGAGAAAAAAATCGCCTTCATCATAAAAGAATAAGGGGACTGATTCAGAAGGATTTCTGTATCTATTTTGATACTGCTACGTCTCCGGCGCTGCGGGAAGAGCAGCCTCTACGCCTTAGCGTAACAAATCGCAGGCATCCCTCCTCGCCTGCTGGAGGCTGCTCCCTCTACGCGCCTCTGGCTCTATAAAACCACTCTAGGGGTAGGACAGACTCGTACCAGGTGGAGTCGGGGTCAATCAATTCGGTTCTTTGACATAAGTTGAACCTAACCTATTTTATTTGTTATCTGCCCTAATAGGTACTGTTAAATAAAACAAATTTCAATAAGAGATCATTTATCATGGTATCTTTCTTGTTTTTCATAAAATGGGTTTATACATTATAAATAGAAACATTAAAAAAATATAGATATTTTAGAAGTCGATTTTTTGTGAACCGATACATCAGCTTACGATTTGAATCGATTTAAAAATCGACCTTTTTCGGAAAGAATCGTGTCTAGGAAATATATTTTTGGATGTTTTTTTTTTATAGGCGAGGGGGCAAACGAGCATGCGGCTCAACTGATGGTAAGTGACTACCGCCGCCCATGAACAACCGACACCAGGGGAATTGCAGATGCATTGCCGGCCTTTTATAAAGGAGTAGGGACTTTTCTTGAAAGTCCTTAAGTCGTATCGGTCCGGAAAAATCGCTAATGGTAATCGATTCCACAAGGAAGTCGTGCAAGGAAGAAAACATCTTTTAAATCGCACAGTGATGGACCGCCAATCATCCAGATAGTGTGGATGATATCGGGAGTTCTGCCGCGATGTGCGTTCGTAAAATTTGACGGCTGGGATTAATCCGAACAATTCCTCATAGCACTCCCCGTGGTAGATGCGAAAGAAAATGCAAAGGGATGCAACATCTCTTCGCAGTGCCAATTAATCGAGCCGATCGGAAAGGACTCGGTCGTCGAAGATTCGAGCCGCTCTGCGCTGGATGCGGTCAAGTGGAAGGAGCTAGCACTGGGGAGCCCCTGCCCAGAGATGGGAACAGTATTCCATGTGAGGCCGAACCTGCGCCTTGTAAAGTTGCAGGCTGTGTGCCGGCGTGAAATACTGTCCCGCTCTGCTGAGCACGCCAAGCTTTTTAGAGGCCAATTTGGCCTTGTCTTCCAAGTGACCACGAAACTGCACGTCACTCGATATGGCGACTCCGAGGATACCGATACTGGCTGAGGCAAGAAGGGGATTGCCTTGAAACTGAGGAGATACGACAAAGGGGTTCTTTTTAGCGGTTAACGCGCAAACTTGTGTCTTCTGAGGATTAAACTGGACTAGATTTAGTCGCCCCCAATCCGAGACTTTGTTCAGCAAAGACTCGACTTCAGACACAAGTTTGTTCCGGTACTCGACGACGTTTTCCCGAGAAATATTGGCACGGCCGGTGTATAGACCATCACCAGTGCTGTCATCCGCATAGCAATGAGTGTTACCAGTGAGCAACATATCATTGATATGCAGAAGAAACAGCGTTGGTGATAGCACATAGCCTTGTGGAACACCAGCGTTAGTAGGCTTGTAGTCAGAACACCGTCTACAACGACCTTGATGCTCCAATCTGCAAGGAAGCTGGTGATCCAATTGCACAATTTCTCGGGAAGCCCATAGGAAGGGAGCTTCGAAAGAAGCGCTTTGTGCCATTCCCGTTCGAAGGCCTTCGCAATATCCAGACTAACGGCCAACGCCTCCCCATTGGACTCTACTGCCTCCACCCATCTATGGGTCAGGTAGACCAGAAGATCACCAGCTGATCGACCCCGACGAAAACCGTATTGGCGGTCACTAATCAGCTGGTGATCCTCAAGGTACCGGATGAGCTGGCAGTTAATAATGGATTCCATTATTTTGGAGAACAAGGAGGTTTTCGCGATAAGCCTATAGTTGGACGGGTCTGAGCGGTCGCCTTTTTTAGGGATCGGGTGGACAAAAGCTGTCTTCCATGAGTTCGGGACTACGCCTTGGGAGTAGGAGTACCGGAAAAGACGCTTTAGGATCGGTGCCAACTCCGGAGCACACGTTCTCAGCACAATTGGGGGGATTCCGTCAGGCCCACTCGACTTCTGGATGTCCAGGGAGAGAAGTGCTTTGCGAACCGAGCGCTGTGAGAACATCACATCCGGCATGGAGCACTCACACCGCGGGATGGTCGGCGGTGTTTTCCCCCCGTCATCAAGAGTCGAGTTGGACGCAAAAAGGGATCCTAAAAGGTCGGTTTTGTCTTTTGCGGCTTGGGCCATTGAGTCGTCCTCCCTGTACAGAGATGATAGTGATGGCTTACAGAAATTCCCTTGGACAGCCTTGGCGGGAGACCAGAATGGACGGGTTCCCGATGGAAGTCGAACTAGTTTCTCGTCAATTCTCCCTATGTGTTCTGACTTTGCCTTGGCAATAACTCTTTTGAAGGACCTGGAGGCGAAATACTTCTTTTTAAGTGTGCTGGTGTTTACATCCCGAGTCGCCGAAGCCGCAGCCCAGGCTTGATAAAACTCCTGCTTACTACGTAATGCAGTCTTACAGGAGCGACCAAACCAAGGGTGAGATCTGCCTCCGATGGGTACCATAGATGATGAAATAAACAGTTCCATTCCCTGTAGCACCACATCAGTGACACAGTCAGCAACAGCGCTGGGATCATCCGGCGAGAAGCAAACCCGCCCCCACGGGTAGAAAGCAAAAAAAGACCGCATTCCGTCCCAATCCGCCGACCTGTAATGCCAAACACGGCGGCAACCTGCAGAACGTCCAACAGGGAAGGTGTATGATCCTCCACATCTGGATTCCGCGTGGGCGAAGTAACCAGTTGTGTCAGACCATATACCAAGGCAAAGTCATAAACAGATCTCCCCGCATGATCGGTTAAACGTGAACCGAGCCATTCGGCGTGGTGGGCGTTAAAATCGCCAAGGATCACGATCTCTGCGGATGGGACCTGTTGTAGCAAGGAATCTGTAGCCATTTGGACGTGGTCGATGAGTCGATCTGTTTTGGCATTACCGCTATGGGACCTATAGAGGCACCCGTAGACGCGCGGATGATCGTCGCTGTCTACGCGTAGCCAAAGGATGGACAGGTCCGAACCTTCAAGACTGCCGAGGCGTCGAGAACAGATGTCCTCTCTGACATACACGCAAACTCCAGCCCGAGGCACAAAGGAGTGCTCCAATTTGTACCCCGGGTAGGAGAGATACGAAGTATCAGCCGGAGAGGACACCTGCGTCTCGGTCAGAAAGAGCAAGGCCGGCTTCGCCGTCTCGAGATGGTAGTGGACGGCGTTTAGGTTCGAGTGAAATCCCCTGATGTTGCAGAAATTCACGGATAATGTGGGAGGGGTCGCCTTGGTATTGTTGCTCAGTTTTCCCGAGCAGTTATTGTCTTGAGCGGAATTTTGCCCTCCTCCCTAGTAATGAACAACACAACATAAATTTATATAATAACAAACATAGAAGACGGCAAAGATATTAACGAAGCTCAACACAAAAATATATCCGAAAATCGCTGAAACACATGTGACTACCAATCCTCTGACAGCAGCCACCGCAAATATTCCTAAAATTCATGTTCTTTAAATATAGCTTGATTAGAATGACAGCTATCATTCTGATGTGACTAGTGCTTTGAATATTAAATCGATATAACGATAAAGTATTTATAAATATTAATAAAAAAATATGGACCCAATACTTGTTTTCACCAATTATTTAAACATTGGGACTTATTATGGGCTATTAAAAAAAATAGTAATAATAAATTTATTGACACAAGGGTGTACATCCTAAGTCACAATTATAATCAATTCAGAGTTAGGGTCACTGCAAAAATCTTCGAGGTTAATTATTAATTCCTGATCACACAAATAATCAAAGCGTACATCACGTTGCCAATATACTGTGATAATTCTTGGCGTTATATCGACTACCTTCTTTCAATCATTTGGTGTTACATGTTCACATGCATTGTTCACCAAATTTAACATTTTATTTGCCGTGAACGGTGTGGTGGTATTGCGTCTTGCTACATGACCTAAAATGAAAGCAATTAGTTATTTTTTTAGTGATGCACTAATTAATCAACTTCATGGTGCATTGTCCATTGGTATCACATGGGATTCATCTAAATTATTTAGAAGTTTTACAAACCATTCTTCGTCTATAGTCTTGACAGACTTGAATGCCAGTAAACAATTTGGCACAAATACAGATGAGGTACCAGCATGACAAATTATTAACCTTTGCCTTCAGGTACCTTGGAAGACGATTCGGTTTTATCATCAGTCCAAGTTTTAGAAAACGTGTGATTTGAATTCAGCCATGTTTCATCCAGGAAAAACACTTTATCCCAATTATCACTATCTGTCACTTTTCGTAAAAAATGAATGCGTACAAGAGCATTGTCATTACGTTCCGTAGTAATTTTTCTTTTGTTACTCTTTTTATAATAGAATCCATTTTTTTATATTGTTGATAAAGATGGTAGGCTCCCACTGAACAAGTTTGCCTCTTTCAGATAAATTGCTAATTTTGTTAATGTTAAGTGTGTAGTATGCACACACACTTGTGACACTGGCAACAGTGATCCGCCGATTTGGTATTCACGTTCAAAATAGTCACAAACAAATCACAAAATCGCGAGATTCGCTATTTAAAACAGTTGTTCTGGTTCTTTTTGGCATTGTAACAACAAAAAGACAATAAAAAAACAAAAAACGCTAATTATGGATGTTCGCGCCAAACACTTTCAAGGATTGACGCGAGAGGGCGCTCGGCGCGGTGCATTCATACC